CCATGCTGTTAGTCTTAATTGCGAAGACATTTAAACAAAAGGATTTAATCAGGGTAGGGAGTCGATGTGTACACACGTAAATCAGATGCGTGAGATTTATCATTAGTTGATGTGTTGTCAGTGTGGGAAATACTGTTTTAAATTGATATATAAATACACGTTTTATGATTGTGGACGAAATGGTATGTGCATCTCAAGAAAGCTTTGCTTCGGAACCGTCCCGTCGCCATTAAAAATCCAACATCTGTTTCACCGTAGTGATCTTGAAATAATAATCCCCGGATAATAACAGGCATTACAGATACCTGCCGTCGTATGAATCCTGAAAAATAATATTTCACCGTATCGCAACAGGTCAGTACTAAAACTAACACTTAATACAGTATTTCAACATTGTGCCGCAAAACTGAACAATGACCAACAACTAAACACATCGTAATATCTTAACATCGCACGTGAAATTAGATGTTTGACAACAAAATTTAACACCTTGCGTAATTGGACACCTTGACTAATTTTTAATCACGGCTCGGGAAATTGAACTAATTATTGAACAGTCTTGCTAATTAGACGGGACGCTTATAATTCAACACGTGTCGAGAAACTAAACACTAGTTAGTTAGACGCTTGGTAATCAAAATTAAACAGTGAGAGTGAAATTTGATAGAAGTACAAATTGAGCACAATTAGCCGAAATTTAACAATATTTATGAATAATTGTACACCGAGTAGAAATAAGCGCTATTTACGCAAGATTAAACGCAAACGGTACCAAGGTTACAGTGACAGCTGCAACATGGTTACTCGACCGAGGGCAGACCCTGAAAAAGTACAACTAGCGTCCCTAACAGCACCGCTAATACAGGAAATGGTCACATGAACACTTCTATATTCATTTCTCATATAGAGGCTGCTACTGTTGCATTCACATAGTAGCATCCATCGTGCTCAGTGTCCATGATATCTGTATTTTCTGGTATTCGAACTGAAGAAAAGGCTTTCCATCCTAAAAAATGGTGGTATACTAGGGTTTTTCTTTTCATATGTTTTTACTGACTATTAAAATGGGTTTGTCTTTCTGTCCGTCCTTCTGTCTGATTTGATTGGCCGAGACTTTGGAACACAATAACTCTCCTTCTAATTGAGCTATAAAGTTCAAACTTGGTATAGGTGGTTATTAGGTCAATGCCTTGATGGAGTTTGAAGATGAGAATTTTCTGCTTAGGGTAAGCAGAGATAAGCAATTTGATTGGTTGATGCTTTGGGACGCGATGACTTTAGTTCTAATTAAGTGAGTGTGATGAAATTTGGTGTATAGTTTCATTACATCAATACCTTGACAAAGTTCGATAATGAGCATTTTCTGCTCAGGGTAAGCAGAGCGATAAGCAATTTGATTGGCCGAGACTTTGGAACACAATAACTCTCATTCTAATTGAGCTATAAAGTTCAAGCCTGGTATAGGTCGTTATTGGGTCAATGCCTTGATGGAGTTCGAAGATGAGCATTTTCTGCTTAGGGTAAGCAGAGTTAAGCAATGTGTTTGGTTGATGCTTTGGGACGCGATAACTTTAGTTCTAATTAAGTGAGTGTGATGAAATTTGGTGTATAGTTTTATTACATCAATACCTTGACTAAGTTCGATAATGAGCATTTTCTGCTCTGGGTAAGTGGAGCGATAAGCAATTTGATTGGTCAAGACTTTGGAACACAATTATTCTCATTCTAATTTAACTAGAATGTTCAAACTTGGCTTAGGTGTTTATTAGGTGAATGCCTTGATGGAGTTCGAAGATGCAAATTTTCTGTCTAGTGTAAGCAGAGATAAGCAATTTGATTGGTTGATGCTTTGGGATAACATTAGTTCGAATTAAGTGAGAGTGAGCACACTTGGTGTATAGTTTTATGACATCAATACATTGACTAAGTTCGATAATGAGTATTTTCTAAGTTCGATAAGCAGAGCGATAAGCAATTTGATTGGGCGATACTTTAGAACACAATAACTCTCTTTCTAATTGAGGTAAAATGTTCAAACTTGGTGTAGAAGAAGTTCATTAGGTGAATGCCTTGATGGAGTTTGATGATAAACATTGTCTGCTTACCGTAAGCAGAGACAAGCAATCTGATTGGTTGATGCTTTGGGGTGCGATAACTTTGATTTTAATTAAGTGAGAGTGGTGAAACTCCCTAGTATAGATTCATTATTATATCATTACCTTGACTAAGTTCGAGAGTTTTCTGCTTAGGCTAAGGAGCGATAAGTAATTTGATTGTTGAAGAATTTGGAACATAACAACTCTGCTTTTAATTAAGATAGAATGTTTAAAATTGATGTAGATGTTCATTAGGTGAATGTCTTGACTGAGTTCAATGATTAACATTTCGAACTAAAGCTAAGCAGAACTAAGAAATTTCATTGATCGATGCTTTGGGACAAGATAAATTTGATTCTATCTGATAGAGCAGGGGTAGAAACTAACCTGAAATGATCACTAGCCATTTGGGCTAGTAGCTTTCAGATCTTACTAGCCCAGCCAACATTCTACTAGCCAAGTAAGAAACTGACACAAGAGGTAAAAATTCTGATTTAGACTGTTGTTTTGTTCATTAATTAATCAAAAACACCAAAATACATGCACTTAAATTTATTTTGGCACATTTAATAATACCACAAATAGACTTTGTTCATTGTTGCCTCTGTTTTTTCATCAAATAATGAATTCATTAATCAGTCATGAAAACATATTAAAATTCAATTTGGCACATTTCATTTCATATTTCATATTTGTCCTTTGGAAGTTTAATCTTCAATACAATAGATTTTTTCAGGGGCCTCATTTTGCACTGATTTTGCCACACGAAGCAATTTGAACGAAGCTCAATCATCACAGCCAATGCATTGAAGAGATTTTGCTACGATACTTTAATATTTATATTTCATTTGTTTTATAAATTCAGTTGTGATGTGCAAAATAATATGATGTAATGTCCTAAAAATTTAATATCAGAAGTTGTCACCAAGAGATGAAGTTATTTATAGCAGAGCACGTGTATTTACACGAGTGTCTTCATTGCCGTAATATATCGCTGTTATAAAACCTTTTAACATCCATGTTCTTCGTTAAATTGCTTCATGTATATATCAACAATTATTATGTTAGGCGATTTATGATAATTAACCTGAAATATGACTTTCGCTTCATAATTCATCAAGGTGTAAACAGAGGCTGTTCCGTACCCTCCCTCATTATCATACAATTTCAACCAATCAGCAAGCTCGCTTGCTCAGATGTCATACCGGTATGGCGAAATGGAGCAGCCAAAGATTAAAAAAAAGGTAAATAGTGATGGCGACGATTTTCGAAAGTTAGTTTCATGACAGTGTTCATTAAATACAAATTATCAATTATTACAACTACCAAAATATCAGGTCGCACACAGGCTAATTGATTTTGAATTTCATTCGCCTATAGTGACTTTTACTCGCCATGGGCGACTGGGCGAGCGTTAGTTTCTATCCCTGTAGAGAGTGATGAAACTTAGTGTTTAGTTGGTAATCAGTTTGATTGCTTGATACTTTTGAAATAAATAAATGTGCGATTAATTAATATGTGTCATCTATTTATTTTGGGATTTTGGTGGGGGACATCAGACTCACTTTTGGCTTGTTTGATTTGATATCAAACCATTTTCCCCCATCAACACCAATGTCAATTCTCTCTTGTTGTCCGGCTAACTTTACGTCTTTGCACCTGATATTATATATTTAAAAACAATTATATATAACAGATAATTAATTTTTTTAACTTATTTACCGTATGTAATCTGTTAATGTTGCAATGTAACTTACGGCAATTGTTAAATAAAACAAACATCGGAAAAATTACCATGTGGCGACCGCATGGCCGTTCAACAGATGTTGTACTCACATTTTAAGTAGTTCAGGTCGATTTCCAGACAATTTCAATCCTATGCATTCGAGCCACCTTTTTAACTGAACATTTCCATATTCATCAAGTTTACTAAAATCAGTTGTAAGTAAAAACGATCTTTTGAAAAACTTGAGTAGACGCCCTTGTTTGTTTGTATGAGGTCAGGTCACGTGACACTTGTATGAATAAACATAGATGCTAAAAGGTAATATATCCGATTGACTTAAAATTTATACACAGTGTTCAAGGTCATGAGATGAAGAAGACTGTCAATTTTCAACGATTTCTAATGATTATGGAAATTGATATTAAATGTTTTGTATGCTAAATGTTAGAATAGGGCTGAACTAGAAGCCAAATGAGTTGTTACTCGTAATCAGATTTTCATGTGTTGTAAATGTTTTCATTTCTGACAAAAGAAAAAATAGCGACAACCCTTGTTGACTCACCTGACAACTTTGCTGCAGTGGACGTATGTTTTGTTGCATACTTATTCATTATTTTTGCATGCCCAATCCCCAAGGGCAAAGTCACATCCATTTTCTCTTTGTGTGTCTGTGTCACCTACAGGACGCAATTCTTAATGGATTACCATATTCCTTATACCCAAGGATGACCATTATTATTTTTGGTGCATGCCCGCCCCCCAGGGAGATAGCCACGCCTAATTTGTGTGTTTGTCTTGTGTCTCCTACAGGCCGCAATTCTTAACAGATCCTATTCCTTATACCCTAAGGATGATCCCTTTTGTTTTTGATGATGCCACACCCATTTTTCTGTGTGTTTCCTACAGGCCCAAAGGCCAGAGCCACACCCAGTTTTTCTGTTTATCGTATACAGGCCGCAATTCTGAATGGATCATTTTCGAACTTGGCATATGTATTCCTTAAAGCCTAAGGAGGGCAAATATTTGGTGCATAATTTCATAATTAATTCTCTTCATTTTAAAAAGTACTGTATCAATCAAAGCAGGAATATGGACGTATATTGCAGCGGTAGTGATGCATTAGTTGTTTTTTTGTTGATACATCCCTTATAATTGAGAAGATAATGTATATGTTTCAGTTTGAGAAGACAATAAAGGATTTAGGAGAGGCTATTGTTGAACTGGAACATAAACGTGATGAGGTTTGTTTGCTTTACATTTAAATAAGTCAAATGGGCTATAATACAAAAAATTTTGGTCCCTCAAATATATCTGTACCATCCCATAGATCGTATTCTATTAAAATTTAATTCATAATGCAGAACCCCATCAAAATACTAAAAAATACAGAAATTTTGGATAATTTTGGATAGCATTTAAATCTGTGAATGTGGTCGTATATTGCTGTCACCCCTGTTGGTTTGTCCGTCCATTGGTTCCTTTCAAACTTGGCAATTATAAGATCGTAAAATCATGGATTATGGCCTTTGTTTACACATGTTTTTAGCTTATGGACATTCTAGAGGTCACAATTTTTATCCGATTTTTATGAAACTTGAAATGTAAGTTTATGTTCCTTTTGATATTCGTGCATATTGGACCGTAACTTCCTTAATTATGGCCCCTGATTGTACGAAAAATCGCGTTTTTAGCTTGTGGTCATAATTTTTATCCGATTTAAAAAAACGTTTTAATATATCACCGTTACTCCCTAAGAATGGTTGATATTGAAATTCGTGAAAATCGGAACCCAAAACTGACAGACAAAATGGCCAACCCTCGTTCTCAAATAGCCTAAAATTATTGTATATCAAGGTTGTAGACCCTCTAGAGGTGACAAATTTCTTCTGATTTTGATGAAACTTCAAATGTAAGTTTATAACCCAAAGATCTTGGTTGCTTTCCATATTCACACATATCGATCCGTAACTTCCTGAATTATGGCCCTTGATTGTACAAAAAATCGCATTTTTAGCTTGTGGACCCTATAGCGGTCATAATTTTTATACGATTTAAAAATGTTTTTGAATATATCACCGTTACACCCTAGTTTAATTTCGGGATGTAGAATAAGTCATCCACACGACATTGTGTAATGTTAGGGACGCAGAAATATTCATAGTCAGTATAATATGAGTGTTTGATATAAGTATAATTTTCTTTAGGCCAAGTGGCAGACTCGCCAATTTACAGCGGTCGCATTTATAAATAACAAACAACAAAATAAATCACTTTATTCAATAACAGTTTCAATATTAAATAACGTCACTACACAGCCACTAAACGACTCACCTCTATAGTCCCGGTACACTTTTCTTCCCCAGTTCATGTAATTCCTATTTTATAAATATTTTATCATGAATAGTGTCCAACGTCTTCCTTTGCATACGCTTTAGCTTATTTTCCGAACACGCCAATTCTCGGCACCAATTTCACTAAAATTACATCGCCTACAATTGAGCGATCCTCAATGCAAAATTTGTAATATAGTCCCTTTCCTGCAGGTTGGTTTCACCATCACAGAATTGCCCTGTGATATAACAGATCAAAGAATAAACTGCACGTAGTAACTTTTCGACTCTGTTATCTTCAGTTGTTCAGACTACCTGGCACCTCAAATAACCCAACGTTAAAAGAAAGCATGCAGTGTCCACCTTACAACAAGTTCCATTAATTTATGATTTATTTTATAATTTATTACACAGTTTTGACCACAGTGTGTTTCGATTCACATTTTGGTATTCTAAATTGATTCTTATACGGAATTCTTATATTTAGTTCCATTTTGTGTGCGGAAATTAAATCAACGATTAATTTATTTTAAAATTAATTATGATGCCGAAATAATATCAATCCAATTGTATTTTGGCGAGAGATTAAGTTGTCAATATGTAATTGTAAAATACCTTTTATTTATCCATCTAATAATTTATATTCAGATTTCATATCAAGTCAATTAAATGTTGTCTAAACATTAAAATCATAACGCCAATTAACAAACAATACGAGTATACTTTATTACAACAACATCAGTAAAGTATTCTAAAAATCTAAAATCATAACGGCAATTAAATAACAACACGAATATACTTCACTACAAAAAAATGTGTCTGAATTAGGGGATTAATTAAACAATAGGTAGCGGCCATTCAAAGAATCTAACGACAGACATTTATGACTGTTGTATATTCCATGCGATGGTGGTGTAATTACACGTCTGTGAGCGATATGGTTTCAGACGGAACTGAGACAGGTGGCTAGAATTTGTGATATAAGCAGGCGGTCATTCAAGGAATATAATCTAAATTGTAATGACGAGCATTTATGACTGTATATTCCAAACGACGGCATAGACTATGGTTTCGGATGGAACGGAGACAGCTAGGACGTGGCTGGAATTTGTCATTTATAAAACAATAGCAGTAGGTCATTCAAAGAATATAATCTGATATCGCTGATTAAATTTTGAACTTTTGTGTAAATATGTTTTTATACGGCCACATTTTCATGTGGACGTATATTGACGTATAGGTTTATCTCCAAAAAATCTCGGCTGCTTTCGATATTGGCATCTATCGGATCGAAACTTCATGGATTACGGCCCCTGTTTGTACGAAAAATCACGTTTTTAGCTTGTGGACACTATAGCCTAGAGGTCACAATTTTTATACGCCCACATTGAAATGTGGTCGTATATTGTCGTCGCCTATTGATTTTCAGCGATTTCCGATAATTACTTCCAGAGTTATGGCCCTTGATCACTTCAAAAAATCTTATGGACGCTCTAGAGGTCAAAGTTAATATCCGATTAATTTTAAATTTATACACAGTGTTTAAGGTCATGAGATGAAGAATCCTATTGATTTTCAGCAATTTCCGATAATTACTGTCAGAGTTATGGCCCTTGATTACTTTTAAAAACCTTGTGACCCTCTAGAAGCTAAAGTTATCATCCGATTGACTTCAGATTCATACACAGAGTGTAAGGTCTTGAGACAAACAAGTATATTGATTTTCAATGAGTTTTTATGACTTGAACAGCTAAATCCATGATGTTAAAAGTTTCCTATACTAAACGTTAGCATGGGGCAAAACTTTATAAAAACCAAACAAATTCTATTGGTTTTCTGATAATTACTTAATGAGTTGTTACTCTTAATCAGATTTTAATGTATTATAAATGTTTCATTACCGAAAAAAGTAAAAATATGTGACAACTCTTGTTGACTGCCCGGACGAGTTAGCTGCTGTGGGCGTATGTTTCGTTGCCTGGCAACCTATCTTTATCTAATTTTGTTGAAACTTGAAATGTAAGTTGATAACCCAAATATCTTGGTTCCTTTCGATATGCGCGCATATCGGACCGTAACTTCCTGAATAATGGCCCCTGATTGTACAAAAAATCGCGTTTTTAGCTTGTGGACCCTATAGAGGTCATAATTTTTATCCGATTTAAAAAACCTTATTATTATATCACCGTTCCACCCTAAGGACGGCTGAGTTCGAATTTCGTGAAAATCAACCCAAAACTGACAGACTAAATGGTCGCCCATCGTTCTCAAATAGCGTAAAAATATGGTATATCAAGGTTGTGGACCCTATAGAGGTCACAATTTTAATCCCATTTTGTTGAAACTTGAAATGCAAGTTTATAACCCAAAGATCTCGGTTCCTTTCGATATTCGCGCATATCGGCCCGTAACTTCCTGAATTATGGCCCCTGATTGTACAAAAAATCGTGTTTTTAGCTTGTGGACCCTATAGAGGTCATAATTTTTATCCGATTTAAAAAAACGTATTATTATAAAACCGTTACACCCTAAGGGAGGCTGAGTTCGAATTTCGTGAAAATCGGCCCAAAATTGACGGACAAAATGACCGCTGTTCGTTCTCAAATAGCGTAAGAGGTCATAATTTTTATCCGATTTTGTTGAAACTTGAAATGTAATTTTATAACCCAAAGATCTTGGTTCCTTTTCGATATTCACGCATATCGGACCATAACTTCCTGAATTATGGCCCCTGATTGTAGGAAAAATCACTTTCTTTTTAGCTTGTTCTCTATCCAGCTCTTGAAAATGTGGGCGTATCCTGCCTGGCAGCCGCTGGTTATATTTTGTGTTTGTAAACAATACGCTGATTAGGTTTTAGACTTGGATATGAGGTATCCCGAATGTTAGTGTGTAAACTGATAAGTGTTATATGTGCAATATATGTGCATATAGTTTGTAGAGGAACTTTCCATGTATTTGGATATTACATATTATAATGACCCTGCTTGTTTTGCTTTTGTTTTTTGATTAGATATACTCGATTTTATTGGGACAAGACTAATTATAAACTAGATACAATTTGCAGTCCTTGCCCGTTTCAATGGGGGGAACTGTACCTACAATTGTTAGCAATTCCCCTCCTTCGGTATTTCTTCAATATTCCCAAGGGGTTGGGATACAAAAATAAATGTTGGTGAAAATAGTCCCTCAAAGACGTCTAGATAAATGGCGAAAATGACGTTTCATTTGTGGCCGAAACGAGAACTGCACACATTAATATATAAATTCACAAATACATTTGTTATTAATTGCGGAAGCGGGTAAATAACCCAGAAAGAAAGATTATAAGTAACAAGATATACGTCCATTGTTTTGTTATACACAAAAACACATACTTATGGAAAAACAGCTACTTATTTATTTGGGCGATGTTTCGAAGAGTATTCTCTCAACGTTATCAAGCTAATACAGTAATGCAAGAATTATGAGATCAATATATACAGAAAACTATAACAACAATTCATGAAACCATACAGGACAACAACAAGATCAAAGGGGTTTATTCTACAAATAACTAAGAGTAGCCATTGGGTAAAGTTAAGCAATTAAGTAGCTATATGATGATAGATACAATACTACTGACAGAATGGGATAGTACCTACTATACAATTATGATATACCATGGTTTGTTTAGATAATGGTAATTAACTTATATATCTGTGTGATTAAATGTACAATTAGACTAGAATAAACCATATGTTGTAATAAATCTAAGAAATAGAGTGGATATAACTGATAAATTGATAATAATATTAGAAAAATGAAAAATAATAAAACTCATAAAAATTCACAAAGGTTTCTTATCCACAGTACTGAAGAATGAGTGGGGGTGATGGAAAACACATAATTTAGGTATATTTAATAAGTTC